TCGAACCATTCGACTTCCTTCTCCATATATTTTTGTACTAATTCTGTCCCTGAAACTCGAATAAATGTACAATCCGTATGATGTGCTACAGCTCTTGCTAATAATGTTTTGCCTGTTCCTGGTGGTCCATACAATAATACACCTTTGGGTTGTGCAATTCCAAGTGATTCAAATAATTCAGGATGTTTGATTGGTAATTCAATTACTTCTTTTATCTCTTTAATTTGTTGATCTAATCCTCCAATCATATCATATGTTGAATCTGGTACTTTTTCTACTCTCATTAATGATATTAATGGATCTACTTGATTTGGAAGAACTTTACAAATACTATATGTATCACTTTTTAGTGCTACTCGTTGGTTGGGTTTCAATGCTCTTATGTCAATTCCTGCTTCGACTTTAACAACATATTTTCCTTCTTGTGTTGATTTAACTAATACCTTATCTTTTCCTACAGCTCGTATAACTTCCCCAACTGAACATGACGGTTCTGATAATAATTGAAGTTCTTCTTTCATTCGTCTTACTTGGTCATTTAATTGATTTCTTTTAGAAATTAATCGTCGTTGATTTTGTAACTCTGTACAATACTCATATGTCATTTCATCTATCTTGTGTTTATAATATTTGACCATTGCACTTTCTTCACTTTGTCTCTCTATTTCCATCCCTCTCACTTACTAATTTTGTAGTTCTCTCTTTTTTGTCCTTTTTCTTTTTCTTTTGAAGTTTTTATTTTTTTCTTTTTATATGAATTAAAAACTATGAAACATCACAAGAAATATCATTAAAAATATAAACATTCATAACAAAACAATATATAACCCATACTAATCAAGTAACTTAAATGACTAAATGATCGTTTGAATTATGTATTATTTTGACAATTAGAGATATAATAATTATTACCATAAAAATCATTACAACAATATGATATATATTATATTCCATTCATCTAATCAATCTTTATCATAATTACTTTACCATCATCTTAAATAGAGAGAATATATGTTATTGTAATATAAATGTGTTTCATAACAAAACATAAAATGATATAAATAATATTAAAAGATAATAAGAATAACAAAACATATAACAACTAAAAGAAATGATGTGCTTGAAATACACAACTATTTCTGTAAATACTAAAAGAAAAGTTAAAATCATAGAACTATGAACAATCTAAATCATCAATAAAACAACAACAATATAACTATCAACAGTATTGAAAAACATGATATCTTACCAAAAAAGAAAAACAAAAGTAATAGACTGAGAAGAAGAAGAAAGAGCAATAACTATTAATTTCTGGAAATGAATCTATGAAACTAACACTAATATAGATTTCCTGAATATTAATTTATATGAAATATTAATTGAAGATAGAATTAATAATAGTATGTCAATAATCACTCATGATAAACTAAAGTATGATACTAAATTCATTGATAATTGGAAATTAAATTGAAAATGATAAAATACAAGGATTTTTGATTAAATATTTAGAACAACCAATGAAATATTTAATAAAATTATTTAATGAATGGTTGAATAATCATAATGAAATACCTCTTCATTTTATTCAAGGAAGGATAATATTAATATATAAGAAAGGAGATAAATTAGACAAAAAGAAATACAGACAAATAACTTGTTTAAATTGTCTGTTAAAAGTGTATACATCAATATTAAAAATGAAAATAGAAAGCCAGTTAATGCTAAATCTAATTGAAAAACAACTTTCATTAAATCAATTTTGATATAAAAAATATACATATCATCAAAAGAATGATTATTATACAACACTATAACCAACAATTATTAATAAAGAATAAATAGAAGTGGGTAGAAACATATTATGACATCTCCAAAGCATATGATAGTATTAACCACCAATGGATTAAACAATGCTTAATATATTTTAATATCCCACTAGTAGTAATTAATAGTATATCATATATATTAAATAATACACAACTTAATTTGTATTATAATCAAGAAAGTGATAGTATGATTAATGTAGAAAGATGAATAATACAAGGTGACAGCCTATCTCCACTTTTATTTGTATTATCTATTGATATATCATCTAAACAATTAGATAAACAAATAAACAAATTAAATATTAAAATGAATTGAGAAGAAAAACACCATGACAATAACTAAAATGGAATGAAACATGAGATAATAAAAGAGCATTGAATAGTTAAAAGAGTTTATACCAGGGAATTTATACAAAGATAAGCAAAAGTATATTTAAAAATTAATAAGAAAGGAGAAAAACATCAAAATCCTCAAAAAAAGATCGAAAAATCTGATATTTACCTCCTCAAAGAAAGTTAAATTTACTCAATAGGAGTGAAATAGATAATACTAAAGCTAACATACAAAAAGTCCCGTTATAACAATTAGTCAGAGAATTAGTTTTAGTTTAATTGAAAAAAAGTTAATGCTCTATAAATCAAAAATAATATATTTGACATGGCGATTCAAAAATAATATCAAGGAATATAATTGTAACATAACAAAACACCAATAAAAGAACACGTACATTAAATTGAAAGTAAATATAACTAACTACTTAAAAGGAAGAGAACCAAATTATAATAATTCCCGAAATAAGTAAATTAACAACTAAATAAATAAACAAGAAGATGTGCACAAGTTAAATAATAAAAACAGAAATAAAATCCCACAACTGAATTACTCAACGAATGAATATTTTTAATATTGTTTTTATCAATTTTTTATTTTCAAAATTCCAAAATAATTTATTTTCTCCTAAGTTTCAAAAATAATACTTTGTTAATAAAACTTTTAATCACTAAATTTAATGCAATCCCCACTATCTTCAACTGAGGAAGAAATTACTCTCGATTTATTATCAATGGAATTACTAAGCCATATAGCACTTGAATTAGAGCCAAAAGATGTATTAAATTTATCATTGACATGTAAAAAATTTTCACCATTAATTAACGACGTAAATTATTGGCACCATATATTAGGATATAGTAAAGATGATGAAAAAAAACTTATTAAAGAGTACCAAGAAGATTATGTTATTATAAAACAATTTCAGCCAAAAGACAATTATTCAACAACGACTGGTCTTTCAAAAAAGGATAAATCAAAGTCATTACCACACCGTCGAGGGAAAAAAATTGTTTGGGTACTTGTAACAATATTATTAAATATATCATGGGATTATATCTCATATTTTTGTGATATTATATTTCTTATATTATTGGTGTTAAGGTTAGATAGGGTGTTTATGTTTCCAGGTATTATTCCTTTCTTATTCTTTTCAGTGTCAATAATTACAAAAACCTTTTTTCCATATCTTGCAATTATTGGTCTTAGATATATTTATGGACCATTTTTTGATTTAGCTTATCTTCCACAACAAAATGTTTCTGTTATTTTAATTTCTTCAATATATTTATATTCTTCTCCATATATTGGTGTGATGTCATTCTTTAGTATACTTATTTTCTTTTTTTATATACTAGTCTTATGTTATGTTAGTAATATCATTGGATTTATATTTGTATTAATTCCTCCATTTCTTTGTGCTGTACTTGCAGTATTTTCTTGTGCAAATTTTACTTGTTTACCTGTTTATAAACGAGCACCATGTTCATTTACTAAAGTTCTATATTGTACAATACCATCATGTAGTATTGTGGCTTCTATAATACTTATTGCACTAGCAAGTCTTGGAGATGAATATGTCCCATATTATGCATCATTTTTACCCTTATATGTCAGTTCAATTTATGAAATTATTTTATTTAGTTTTACAACGATATATTTATCATGTTGTAGTAACAAGTTATTAGTGTCAGACCTTCCTTGCTACATTTTACTTTTTCCATGTTATGAAAAAAAAACTGTTAGTGAAGCAATAACAATGAACCAATTTCTTTTATTTTTATTAATCTATGTTTCAATCCCATTAGCAATATTTCTTATATTATTATCAATGAAACTAGATGGTTTTGTTGATGTAAAATTTCTCTATATATTCATACCTTTCTTCTTTTTAGAATTAAGTATTGTTTTCTTTAGTCTAGCAATTCATATTGGGTGCTGTATAACTCATGGATTTAGTGAAAGTAATAATTACAAGCTACACAACAATGAAGAGGATATTTCAAGCTTTGATGAACAAGAAATGGATACTCTACCACCAGCAGTAATACGTGGTAAAAAACTAAACTTACCACACAAGTAAATATTATTTAAAATGTTGAATTAAATTTATAACTCTTCATAGTTTTTTTAAGACTCTTCAATAACTGATTGTTCTCTATATCCTTTTGTTGTTTGAATCAGATCATAGTCAACAATTCCTGTTTCTGGGTCTGTGGCAGCTTGATGAATAGCTGACGTTACTAATCTAATAGCCTCTTTGACATCTCTTGCTTCAACTTTTTCTCTTAATTGCATTTTTGCAAGAGCCTCAGAAATACGAATAAGTGATTCAAGCTGTCTTGTTGTAGCAGAAATAGTTTTATGAGTTTTATTTTCACTTCCAATCTTTCTCATTTCTAAATATCCTTTAACCAACTCAGTCCTTGCATTATCTGTTAAAACTGGCTTACATCGTTTACGAGCATACCTAACAAATGAACTAAATGTAGAAATATCTAATGCATCAGTTTTAATTTCATGTCCCCAATACAATGAAATAATATGTCGGGCTAATTTTCTATCTCTTTCGGGATTTGGTTGGTCAAGTATAAGATAAATCAAATCAAATCGTGATAGTAATGATGGTGGCATTTGAATATTATCTAATACACTTAGTTTGGGATTATACCTTGACTCCTTTGGATTTGCTGATGCCAATATTGCTGTACGTGCATTTAATGAACAAACTATTCCACTTTTTGCAACTGAAATTGTTTGTTGTTCCATAGCCTCATGTAATACACTTCGTGTCATTTCAGTCATTTTATCAAATTCATCAATACAACATAATCCTTTATCACTCATAACTAATGCCCCACTTTCTAATACAGTTCCTCCTTCTTCAGACTTTCCAACAAACGCTGTTAACCCAACAGCACTTGACCCTCTTCCTGAGGTATACATCCCACGTGGAGCAACTTTATGCATAAATGTTAATAATTGACTTTTAGAAGTTCCAGGATCACCTAGCATTAAAATGTTAATATCTCCTCTTAGTTTTTGATTATCTTGTAATGTTTTTGCTGAACCTCCAAATAATTGGCATAATAACCCTTTCTTTACATCGTCCATCTCTGTAATAGAAGGTGCAACTGATCTAGTTAACCTTTCATACCAATCATCATTAATTAATGTTGTAAAATCAATATCAACTTCTGTTTCTTTTGAATATTTTTTAATATGAATGACATCAATATAAGACCTAAAAACTGCTCTCACTGTCCTTTGTGAAACTCCTATTTTGACTGGATCAGCTCTATAAACTCCAGTGACTTCAATACGATCACCTGGTTTTGCGGAATCAACAAGTGAATCAAAAGCAAGTAAATGAAGAGTTTGTGGAGTTTCACCTGCTGGAATTGCCTCAGGAGATTCTTGAAGTCTAATAATTTGTTTGTCAATATAATATGATAAAGTATGTATTAATTGCAATGTTCCTGTTTTCTTACAATGAGGACATTTAGCAGGAACA